TTCAAAGAATTCATGAATACCCGTTTAATGGATATCCGCGTGAATATAGGATAGGTATAGGGTCAATTTTCATCCGGTAGAGTGGAGACGGGTTTACTATTACCCACTCTCATAAGACCTCGTTACCATCCCTAATTCCATGTGTGTGCCTGTCCACAGCTTAAATAATTTCTTAAGAAATGATTTTGAAAAAAAAGCAAGGAGTACAAAGATTTTTGGCAGCACACTACATATGTTTCCATTTGATGGCTCTAATTAGAGCTGTATATACAGATATGCAAGGGGAAGTCTCAATTCATGAACTTACTATGGATAATTTTGTTTCGGTGGCCAGAGAGATCCCCTCAAAATAGCTACGCAACAGAGAGATTTCAGAAGTCTTTTGCAAGATCATCATTATTTTTCCTCCCTCTGTTAATTAACTATTGTCTTTCATCCAAGAAAAGGACAACAATCCATGATATTTGGCATAATCATGGACCGAACTTGTTTATTAGGATTAGAATTACATTAGTAAACTAGTTAGGATGCATTAGTTCTGCAATGGCTACCACTATTTTTTTTTTTTGATAAATTGTTCCAATATGAAGTTGATAAAAAGGGTCTATTTGACATCATTTGGATCCAATTCTATAACAACCCATCATGCCAATACAATGGGAATAGTGGGAGTGGTTATATTTCGCCTTATGTGCTTAATTCTCAAGTGTTACCGTCCAATGTCATAGTTCAGATACATATAGCAACATTTAATCACAATTGCAAATAAGGATCTTAGGGAGGCTTATCAATTCATATACTTAAATTAAAAAATTCTAAAAGACGAAACCAAACATATAAATGAACAAAATACTAGGACCAAACATAAATCAAAAACCCTAACAAGAACTGTAGAGATGAGTGAGACAAACCAGAGTAAGATAGAAATCAACCACCAAATGGTAGTGAAGTACTCTTCGGACAAGGCTTAATATGTACAATATGTATGTATTTTTAATTCTATATGGTTATATTTATTTATTTGTAGCATTTTTTTTTTATTTTTTTTATTTTTTTTATTTTTGTATGCGGTCTAGCCCGCCAACCCGCCAGCCCGTCCTTAGGCGGGGTGGGCCAGCATCTCAAGCCCGTTTTATATTGGCGGGCCAGTCCGGCCCGGCCCGTTTTTGGCGGGCCAATGGCGGGGCGGGCCAAAACGGGCCGAACTGGCCCGTTTTTCCATCCCTAATCATGTACCCATACTCTTCAATATAGTTGCTAATTTACAAAAGCTGCATATTATTAACATTACTCTTAACTACAGGTTGCAATTTTCCTAAGTTTCTCCCTGAAAATAAATGGAACAAGATACAGCAAGAAAGGGGGAAAAGTCCACATCATCAATACAGCTTGCCCACTATTAGTTGGATATTCCTTCAAAAATATATTTATTAACTATTAAAAAAATCGGGTTTCTAAGCTTGTTTCCTAAACAAAATTGTGCTTTGGAGGTACATATTAAGGTGGCAATATGGAATTGACTAGGAACAATTATTTAAATGATTACCTGGTCCACCCGTAGTACAGTGCATGCAGCATCCGCGGCATACTTAAGAGCAAAGAACCTGAAAAGAAAAAACAATAAGATGAAACTAGTCTATCAGGCAATATGAAGATAAATCCCAATTCAACATAGTATCTCCAATCTTAGCAGTTGAAAGAATGCATTAGCTCCATAACTTTTATATGACAAGGCTTTTTAGAGAAATCTACACTACAATAAAGAAAAGCCAGTTCATTATTTGCTCAAACTATGGGGTTGCCACTATATAAAACATGTTTGTGTTAGAACAAAGCTTACTTAGTCACATGGAGATCCCAAATGCTCAAGGTTGAGACATCCTTACAAACACCTTCTTCCAAATCAATGCCAACTTTGGCATTTCCAGATGCATGTTTTGCATATAAAGAAGATATGATCTCCATTGCATTTAGCCCAGCATTCTCAGCCAAAGTTCTAGGAATCATTTCAAAACTTTCAGCAAATTTTGCTATAGCATACTGATCCAACCTGCAGAGTCATTGCAAACATTTAGTCCATCAGATTCTTGTGTCAAATACCAAATAAGCATTAAACAAAGTAGACATAGCATTGACATAACCCAATAAACTACATCAGACAGGTGATCAGAAAAGAGCCACATCTTTGAAACAGAGAAAGAGATATCCAGGATGATAATGAGTATAATAAGCTTATACATTTGGCATACCAGTGAATAATACCAAAGGGCCAAAAGCCAATGAAGAAGTAAGAGAAAGAAAAAGTATATGCATTGCAACTTTATCAAGTGACCAGAGGAATATGACTTGAAAATAAAACTGGGAGATGTTTCAAAGTTTAAATATATAGGTTAAATACAACAAAAGAATGGGGAAATTAATGAGAACGTGACACACAAAATGCATGCGGGATAGCTAAAATTGAGAAAGGCATCAAGGACCTACCAAGTTCAAAGGAAAACTTTATCATACTTCTATATGCCTGATTAGACTATATGGTATCGTTGGGCTTAGCAGAAATTAGAATGTTGAGATGAATGAGTAGTACGTATGTGCAAAGTTCAGTTTTTTCAGAAAACCAAACCGAGCGAGACTGGACCATTTTCAAAATGGCTCAATTCAATCTAGTTTGATTATCCACTTTCTAAAAGCAGTTTGGTTAACCAAACTAATTATACAATGTGGTTTGGTTCAATGTTGTCAAAAAATGGTTATAACACCGATATAATAGTACGGCGGGGCGGTTTTGGTTCCTGTCACCATTCCATATCCGCAATATGGCATTTTATGATGCTGCCCACCATTTCTGTCGTGGCGGGCGCCATGGACGTTTTGTCCCGTTACGTTATGAAGGTGATGGTAGGCGTAATGGGTCTAGGGTTTTTGGGGCCAATTTTGGGCTTTGACCCAGGCCCAATTTGAGTATCCTAATGGTTTTGGTGTTCGAGAGTGAGAATAGAGCCGCGACAACCACCCACCCAAATGCACTTCTATGACCTTCAATCCATCTCCAGTGACGTTCCTTTGTCATCACCCACCACTCGCTGCTCACCTTTCTGACCGGCGACCTGAACCACGGTGGTCCAACACTCCGACCAGCAACCATGATGCGCGAACAGGACTTACAGAAGTTGAAACCGCCCCTGATCACCTTCGTTCACCGTCGTTCACCACTCCTTGGTCACCTTTCTGACCGGCGACCTAAACCGTGATGGCCCAACACTCGAGCGAGCAACTCTAACGATCATAGCCAAACTTAAAAACTGAACTCTTGTTTTTTTTTCCAATTTTAATCCTCCTTCCTTTGGTTTTCCCTACTCCTTTGAGTCCTTTCTTAATGAGTTTGTTGCTGCATCTACAACAATTTTTTTTAATCCTAATCTACCAATTGGGTCAATTTAAATTCCTATTTTGTTCTAAATTCTAAACTAACATTGAGTTCCTATTTTATTATTGTTCTTATTCTTATTTTTAGGACAATGTCTAGAAATCCTACTCAAAGTCAAACATCCTCAAACTTTGCAAAGAGGATAGATATAGGATGAAAACATTGTCATCCTACCAAAGAGAATGATACCAATGAAATTGTTGTAATTATTGTCAAAAAATCATGAAAGGGGGAATTACAAGAGGAAAACATCTAATGGGAAAGAAGGGAAATGTTGCACCTTGTCAAAGTTATCCCAAGGAAGTTAGAGATGAGTTGTGAGCACTTGAAAAAAATAAGAAGATGAAAAAGAGTGAGGCATGCCAAAGAATATGAACGTTATATGTTCCTTTTTTCCTTTTTTCCTTTATGTCCCTTTTCATGTTGAATTTGTCAGTTTTCTTTTGGGATGTCTTTCATTGTGGAAGTTAACCATAAGGGCTTGTTAATTCATGACTCAACAACAAACTATGTTGGCAGGAAAATGATGTTGCTTTGTGATTTAGACTTGAACAAATGGCCCCTTTTTTGAGTTACTCGATATTTTGAAGGAAGGCATTGGCTGTAGTGGTTACTTTAAGATATGGTGGAAGGGGAGTGATGAAAACTTAATTGATGGTATGAAAGAATTAAGTTTAGATAGCCATGCTATTGAGATGGCTAATTATGCTATAAGTAAAAAATATCATGTTCAAGTGTTTGTGAAACATGAGATTATTGTAGGTGAGAAGAAAAAAGTGGAGTTAGTGAAACAAATGGTGGTGAGGATGGTGAAACAGATGGTAGTGAGGATAATGGAACAAATGTTAGTGAATTTGAAGATAATGAGGAAGACAGAGCAAACAATAATGATGATGGGTTTCATAAAGATGAAATTTTAGTGGTTGACAAGGTTATCAAACAAAAAGTTAAAAAAAATGTGGTTGAAGATATGCAAAGTAGGGAGGACATTGTCGAGGATAGGCAACTTGCACACGATGTTGTTAGTGAGTTTTTCCCCAATAATGCTGACTTAGAACACCAACTTGTAGATGGATATGACACTAAATATTTGGACAGTGGAGACTTAGATTTAGGTGGTAAAATTGTTAGGTACCAAAGATATAACAGTGAAGACAAGAGCAAGAATTTTCGATTTAAGCTTGGCATGGAATTTAGCAACTTGGATGAGTTTAAAGGTACAATACTTGAGCATTCAATTTTGAATGGTAGACAAGTTAGATTTCTAAAGAATGATTCATTGAGGGTTAGAGCTTGTAGACACCCGATTTCGTCCAGGTTACCTTTACCAAAAACAAAGGGCCACTAGGACGAAAAGAGTGGCCCTCGAGGGCCTGATAAAGCACTGAGATGGACTAGGACAGCACCAAGAGGCCTAAAAGACTTGAAGCTAGGGTTTAGGGCATGGAATAATTGTTCCCACACTTGGAACGGCCATTCCCAATTCAAAATTAATATGGGAAACCCTAGTTAGGAACAACCCTACCAAAACCTTGAACGACCATTCCTAACTAAAAATTTAGCCTATAACCCTAATTTGGAATGACCTGTTCCTAAATATTTTAATGTAATTTTAAGGGTAGAATGGTCGTTCCAAGCCTGGGAACGACCGTTCCACGCCTTTGGGTGCCTATATAAGCTTGCCTAGGGCTTAGTCTCCCACACACACTATTTAGTTGAAAAATTCCTGACAGAAACACTCCCTTCTCTTCCCTTATAGTTTCTTGAGTGTTTGTGAGGTCTTTGTAGAGCGAAAGGTTGCCAAAGCGCGCCTTTGTACCAAGATTTGAGATTTCTTCTATAAAGCTTGCTTGGAAGGTATTTTTATCAATTCTCTTTCTCTCTCTCTCTCTCTCTCCTTATTTGTTTAATCATTTTATTCATATCATTATTGCCACAAAACAATCAATAATCATGTAGATAATTAACATTTAAATGGCTAACAAAAAGGGGTAAATATTTAACCATTGTTACTTGTTATGCTAAAATCGTCATAGGATACCAATTCAGGGCACTATGGGGAACCTAATACCTTCCCCACATGTAATCGATCCCCAAACCTAATTCTGGTTGTGAAGGCCATTATTAATTTTTGAAAACCTTTTCCTATTTCTAATGTTTTGAGTAAAATGTCAATGGCGATTCCTTCGAACTCTTTTCAAAAATCATTGGTGAAGGATTAGTCTAATCTTCAAGCATTCCTAAACCGATGAGATTTTCAAAATGAAGTTAAAACCATCTATGGGAAAGATCAGAATTTTTTGGATTCCAACAGATGGCGACTCCACTAAGGAAAGAATCAGGCCCATTAAATGACGAATTTAGCATAATAAAAATAAAAATTAAATTTTTACCCTATTTTACCTTGTTTGTAAAATATATCTTGATGGAAGAGCATGGACCAAGGGTCCAACCACTAGAGCAATGGACAAGAGATTACTTGAAGACTTGACTACTTCAGAGCTTAGTGGGCCCAATGGGCTTGGTGGGCCTAGGGTGCTCCTCACTTGGGCTTTACTTGTTTGACACCACTTTTTATTGCATATTCATAGAATAGGAATTTACTTTGTTTTGGTCTTGTATTTTGGACCATAGATTAGGAATTGTAAGCTTTGGGCTTATAGGGCCTAGAATTAGGCTTCATGGGCCTTTGGGCTTTTGATACCCAATATTGGGCTCATTTTCTTTCTTGTAATTTTTCCTATTCATTGTATTTCATTGACCATTGTATTTAGGTCATTAGTATAGGAATTAGGGAGGAATACTTGTTTAAGAGGATTAGGCAAAACTAGGTTTAATTTAGCTTGCATTTAAGTTGCATTTTGAGTCACATGGTTGGCGCCACCTTGGCTGAACATGTGTGACTCAAATTCAACCCTAAATGTAAATTAAATCAAACCTAAATTCACTTAGCACCCTTGGAATCCGGTGATGCACATATGGGTTAAGATTTGAATTCAAAATTCAAATTTGAATTCA